ATGGTGCGTCGATGTCGTCGTACCGTTGCGTCTTGAACTCGCGGTCGATCTTCGCGATGAAAGCGTGAAGGTCGACAACCTCTGCTCCGGCGTCCATCAACGGAGCTGGTACTGCAGTGTGCAAGTAGTCCCGCAATTGTGCCATAAGCACGTTGCAATGCGGTTTCGGCAATCATCCGGTCGAGGGAACGGGCATCCAGTGGAAGTCCGTGAACGTCAATGGGTCAAGCTCTAAGTCTTGACCATGACGTCGAATCCCCGGCGATAGATTGCGGCGAAGCTGCGGAATCGGTTGCCGATGGTGATGAAACCGTGCATGCGGTAGACTGTTGCACGTGGAGCGGTTGGTCCAGCGGTGGAACCAAGTGGACAACACAATCCTCGTAAGTATACCGAGGATTTGCGACATTCGCATCCTCCCCAGATGTGCAGGAGGCCGATAGCAAGGCGGCCAAATCTGGCGGAGTAGAAGGTGGAGTCGCCTCACCTTCCGCGGAGCTCAGTTTCCCGAGCTGAGGCGGGGTCGCACATCCTCCTTGACCTGATCTTGTCACAGGGAGGTCTTGCGCTTGGTGCTGTTGTACCAATAGCAGCTGTCGTAGCGGCCGCGGACCTTGTACTCCGCCTCGGTCAAGCCAAACTTGACCTATGGAAACTGTCCTGGCTGTCCATTTCCGGCCTGCGATGCGGATTTCGCCTTCCCATTGTTACGAGACTTGTTGGTGCTTCGCGGCTGGACAGCGGCCACCTGATCTCCGTCACTTGATACTGGAGTGGCTGCTGGGTTATCTCCACTGTCCTGCTGGACTGCAGCGAAGTGCTGCTGTCGCGGACCAGTTCGTGCCTTCTCCACATAGGTCGGCTGCCATGTTGATTTCTCGTGTGCAGCTGACCTGTTGGTCTTGATGATCTCCCTTGCTTTGTCAATAATCTCCGCGAAGGTTGAGTACTGCTCGCGATCACCAAGAGCCTGGCTCAATGCCGCACAGGACCTGTTGTAGAACTCACGGCGTAGATGCTCGAATGGTAGGTTCAGATTGGGCACAGCCGCAATCTTCTGCCACTCCGTGAGCCAGTCCYGTGTTGCTGTGTTGCCCTGTGACATGGTGAAYAAACGGTTGATGGCGAGTGCCGGCGCGTCGTTGACGATGAACCGCTTCTTCCACAGCCGTGTTAGTTCCTCCCATGTGATTACGTCCTTCAAGTCTGGTACGTCGACGTCGTGGGAGGTTGCCAGGCGGCTCAACCAGGTTTGGCATCCGCCCTTTGAGTTCAGGAACAGGGCGCCGATGTACGCATGCTTGGCTACTGGCAGAATCCTGAGTTGCGTTGTGAATGCTTCCCACCAGCGGACGGGATCATGCTGCGTGTAGTCGTCGAACCTCTCCAGGTTGAGAGTTGGCATCTTGTACATCTTCGGATTGTCGTCCGCGTTCGTCGACTACAACTTCTGGACCTCGGTCTTCAATGTATGCAGCTGACTGCTGATGGTGGTGGTCGGCGCAGCGAAGGTGCTGATGTCGCCGAGCATTGCCACTACGTGGTCAACGCGGTCCTCCAGTTGGCGGCTTGAGGGTGCACTACTGGAAGCTCCAGCAGCTGGTCTTGGTACAGCCTGTTCCAGGTCCAACAATCGGGCATTGAGTGCCCGAGTTGCATCCTCGTGGCTCTGCACTGTGCGGCGGAGCGTCGCCAATTCCAGATGCTGTTGCGTCAGGTCCCGGTGCTGTCTCTCCAACTCTGACCTTTGGTAGTTGCAAGCATACAACAACCGCGTCACGAGTTTGGAGAGGAACTCCTTGTGCTTTTCTTCCGGTGTTGCGTCGTCGCCGTTCGGTTGAAAATGCCAGTACTTGAGTCTGTAGATGCTGTTGGCTTCATGCCGCTGCAGCAGATCCTGGGCTTCCTTTCGGCGAGCCWGGGCATCTGCTTCTGCATCGGCCTGTAGCTGCAGTTTCTCTGCTGCTGATGCCTCTTCAGCTTGTATGTGAGCAGCCTCAACTGTCAGCAGGCGTTGTTCCTCAGCCTCTATCTGAGCCAGGCAACGCTGCTTGTAGGCGGCAATGGTCTCATTGGCCAGTTGGCCTGGCAGGTCCGTCATGTTGCTGACGTGGCAATGCTGCTTACGTGTTACTGCTGATGTGGCACTGCGTCTGACGTGGTACTGCTGACGTGGCAATGCTGACGTGGCACTGTTGACGTGGCTCTGTGTTGAACGTCACTGCTGACGTGGCACTGTGTCTGACGTGGCACTGCTTACGTGRCACTATGTCTGACGTGGCAATGTGACCTGGCACTGCGGACGTGGCACTGCTGATCTGGCACTGCGGACGTGGCACTGTTGATCTGGCACTGTGACGTGGCACTGCTGACGTGGTACTGTGACTTGGCACTGTGACGTGGCACTGCTGACTTGGCACAGCTGATCTGCACTGCTGACTTGGTACTGTACCGAAACGGGATGCATGCAAGGGGTGGGTGGGAGGGAAACGGAGGGAGGTAACCAACCCAACAATGCTTTCCTCCGGCCCTAATCAACAGATAAAATAAAAA